GCCTACTTGTTACAGTGTAACCATAAGCAAGTTCATTCATTCACATGAATTTTCTTAGTAATTTATAGGCATTGTCATGAGTACTTTATAGAACCCGGAGGGAATTCCTTTTGTCCCTTGCATGTAACAGATACGACACATGCTGTATTCTGAGAAGGCAGATCTGTGGTCTTCCCGGGGAGCAGGACACCGGGTTCTCTTTCGTGGCTCTCAGCCAAGAGAAGAATGCAGGGCAGGCCTTCTGCCCAGCTTCCTCACCCTGGAGGCGGCTTCTAGTTTCTGCGGGAAGCTGTTTGCTGGGAGGTGTGTCCAAGCTGTCCACACTTCTCTGCGGCAAATCTGTGGGCATTCTGATACTGCAGACAACATGTATTATACTTGCATTGGAAGTTTATCCAGAGGGTTTTTAAAAATTTATGTACAAATGGATTTAAAACAAGATAAAATGCTTTCTAAAAAGATCTCTTGCATTTGAATAATTTGTTCAGAGGAGAGGAAATTAGGATGTTCTTCGTAGTGTTTTCCCCAAATTAGATCAGAACTTTCTGAATTTAAAGTAACCAGAAACAATGCTTGAATGATAAGATTGGGGAATAAAGAACTCTGCAAATTTTAAAGCATTCCCATTAATGTGACAGGCGTAGAGGAACAATGTGGATGAAAATGAATGTAAATTCAAAGCTTAAAAGGAAAATGGAATTGTCAGAGTGAATTTGGATAGTGCTTCAGAAGGAGTTCCTATGATCTTGAAAATGAAAAATATTAATTAGGAGGGAATTTGAGAACAATCCATGCTTAGGTGTACGTAGCAAAATATCTGACTTTGGGGAATTGCTTCTGCTCTGTGCAGTGGACTTGGACAGGATACCCCCTCATGCCTAGGACCTGCATGGCTCAGTTTGGGGGGTTCGCCAGCCCAGCCCTGACTATGGCTCAGTGACCTCTAAGCCCATTGTTTTCTGAAGCTCCTGGGAATTCCTTCCGAGGCCATATTTCCTGATGTGGGGGTCTCCTTTTTGTCAGATCCCCAGTCAAGCTGTACCTCATTTCCTCATCATTACTTCAGGGAAGGAACCACCCTCTTGACAGGTGTGGGGAAGGGAAACAGAAAGAGATTTTTTTCCCCCTCTACCTTCCGCGGTTCTCCAGTTGGAGCCCTGTAGCTTAGACTGACAAAAGACAGATGAACAAGAGAAAAGTACACAAATTCACATGCTTTATGTGACTTGGGAAACCTCATAAGGAAATGAAAACCTGAAGAAATGATTAACCCGAATGCTTATATTGGGTTTGGTGAAGAGTGGAGCAGTGTGGGAAAATGTGATAGGACAAAGGCGTGAAGTAAGGACAGCAAATTGGGAGAAACGTAGCAAGGCCTTCGTTCTGGTTTCACTCAGCACCCTTTGGGCTTAAAGAAAAGGATGCCCCCTTCCTCCAGGTTTGAGGAGCATCTCTCACATGAGGGTCTATGACCTGCTTCGGGGAATAAGAAGAAGGTCAGGTAGTCAGTCCTTCCTGCACCTGATGCCTCTCAAATTCCTTCAGCTTAAAGTATTCAGTATGCCAAGGTACCATTTTCTGGGGTAGCGTATTCTGAAGCCCATCACTGGCTATTAATATTTCTCCCCTCCCCCCAGCTTTCAGAAGTATGTTTGATGACTATATCTTAAAAATGAGAATGGGCTTTTAGCTCTAAAAAAAGTGTCAAAAGGCCTAGGTTCAGGTCCCAATTTTATACACTGGGTTCTTATTCTCTCTCTGCCTCCTATTAATAAATAATGAAGTTAGTAATAGTTACCCAGGCTGTGAATCAAATATGATAATGTAAGGGAAAATACTTTGTTGACTATGAATCTAAGAGATGATTTCATTTTCAATATGTGGAATATGTATAAGTTGTGAGAGTAGCATAAATCTCTGACTAAATAGAGATGTCGCCAAACAACTGCTCAAGGGAACACTGAGTCAGTAATAATATTTCTCACTCCCTGCTGCATATTGGCATCACCTGCCGAGCTTCTTTTACCAACAACTAAGTCAGTACCTAATTGACTTAGATTGGCTAGGGCTTGGGGCCAGGCACTCTAAAAATGTAGGCTTAGAACCATGATTGGCAAATTGCGACTCGCGAGCAACATGAGGCTCTTTGGCCCCTTGAGTGTGGCTCTTCCACAAAAATACGACGGCCTGGGCAAGTCTATTTTGAACAAGTGGCGTTAGAAGAAGATTAAGTTTAAAAAATTTGGCTCTCAAAAGAAATTTCATTTGTTATACTGTTGATATTTGGCTCTGTTGACTATTGAGTTTGTCAACCACTGGCTTAGAAGAATGTTGTTTGTGGTTATCTACACAGATAAATAACGATACTCTCAGGGTGCAAAAAATTGGGAGGGGGTAAGATACAAGAACAGATATTGAGGACACACTTTTTTGTGTGTGTGTGGAGTGAGGCTATAGACACATCATGTAGCCCCTTTTCACATGGAAACTTCCCTATAGAGTTTCAGAGAGGAATTGCAATCCCTGGATACCCAACAGCAGATATTACAAGAGAGCAGCATTGCCTTATGAGTCTTCAGCTAGAATTTTAATTCACCCTGGGTTATGACACAGTTTCTTATTTTTTATAGCACACATTGCAAGTGCTTCTGGATGTTGCTGGTTATTGAATTTTCTTGTAACAGAACAAATCTGTGACAGCTCTGACCTAGAAACCACTGATTAAATAGGCAGGAGAAGTTCATTCCCAGGTGGGAGAGAACAAATTTTCCCTGCCAACTAATCAGTGACTGGAGCCTGATGCTTCTTTAGCCTCCATCTTAAGCTTTGAGAAAATCTCAGATTGCCCATCTCTGGTGTCTTTGGGGATGTGAGAGGGATTGTTGTTCTCAAATTGAGGCCCCAGGTCCGCAGCACTAGCTCACCTATTAAAAATGCAGATTCTCAGGCCACACCCCAGACCTGGATCAGAGACTCTGTTTCAACATGACCTCTGAGAGACTGTGATGGATACTCAAGCCTGAAAATCACTGAGCTCCCACAGAGGCTCTTTCCATGTTTTTCCTCAACAATAAGTGTGTATTTCTCAGCAGAGACCCCTGAAACAGGAATTTGCAGACCATTCTTGGCATTGCTTCCTCCTCTGCTCCTCCTTCCCTTTGACGATGAGGCACAGCAGGGCTACAGGGAAAATGAGGGGTAGACAATTTTAAAGTTCTCTGTCATCAAGATTCATATTCCAATGTTTTAAGAGATAGTAATCAGGTAAACATATATTATATATGTAAATGTATAAAGATATATTGTATTATAAATATATACCCATTATATAAGTACAAGGATATATATATATAAATTATACACACACACACACACACACACACACACACACACACACATACAGGTATCTATATTTTACATATGTATATAAAATTTTCAAAGATACATTGTGCATATATAAAATCTTTGCTGTAAATGTAGCAGAGACCAAATCAGGAAAGAGACCAAATCAGGAAATTCTATGTCAGGGTAGAACTGGAAACCCAAAGGCCATGAGAAGAGATGGGAGATAGGAGGCCATCAGGGGAAAAAAATAAAACTTGGATGGAGTAGAAAGAAAAGCAATGCCTGGTAAGGGCCTCTGCCTTGCACAACTCAAGAGGAGCTACGAGTTGCCTAGAATTTCCTGCAGCTGTGCAGTGCAGTGCCCTGTGTCAAAGCGAGGACAGAGGTGGCCCTGGATACATCCCTAAAGCTTCTTTCTAATAGTCAGCAACACTATGATTTCTTCAGGACGTTAGAACAGGCAGCTGAAGATTGCTGTGCTGTCTCCTCTAAGAGTATTTAAAAATTGAATAGATTCGCATCTCCCGTGGGGGTCCTAAAGGCAGAGAAAAGAATCAGTGTTGTCTTATCTCTAGAACATTTCCAACTGCTAACAGTTGAAGTTGTGTTGTTGGGTCTATGTATCTATCATCTATTTATCATCTTTCTCAAAGCCATTATCTCCAGGCACTCAAAGAACTTAAGCTCCATGGCCTATCCTTTAAACACCATGGAGGGGGATGTTCAGCACGCATGCTCATCCCAGTAACAGAAATTAGGATGTCTCCAGAGCAGTTCTGGTATTTACACTCTGCTAAGTGCCTATGTGCATTTTCTCAGTGACTCTTCACAATTACCTTATGATAGAGTTGCTGTTAATATCCTCAATGTAATAGGTAACTGATTCGAACTGAGCATGGATTTAAAATGAGGTCAAAGCCCAAGGTTTTAGTCACTTCACCTATTTAATGGTAGCCAAGGTCTTGATTCAGGAGCGATGGAATTATCTGTTGCATCCTTCATCCGCAGGGCTCACATTGAGATATTCAATTACCTACACTCTTTACGGACTTGTGTTCTTTCCTTTTCTGACTCATGCTTCTAAACCTCTGTTTGCAGCATTATTTTAAGGTAATTGGTACTTCAAAAGCTATTAGACTTCCAAGTAGTAATTTATACATTGTGACTTTTTAAAATAAAAAACTAACCACTGGTAGCTAGGCATCATTCTTTTTTTTATAATGTTATAACAGAAATTCACTAATGAAATAGACATAAAAGGACCTCCCTAAAATTTAACACTGTTCTGTATTCTGTGGTAGTTGTTACAATATTTTCCTATTAACTTCATCCCCATCTGTGTAACTGCTACAAGTTTTTAATTATGTTCAATTATTGTATGTTTTATAATTTACATTGTCTTTCATTTCCTCTTATAGTCTAAAGTATTTTGTTAGCTAGTATGTGTGCAGTCTTACTTTTTTAGCACTTTAACCTAATTTTTTGGGCTGTACTCCCCTTGATAGCTACCTAGAGTAACAAGGAATTTTATTTCCTGTGTACTTATGGCTTATTTTAAAGGAAAAAGGATTCATTTACGGTATGCCCAACAGCCCTAAATTCTTACTGCATTACTGAAAGAATGTGTAAACAAAATTCTTTTTTTTTTTCTTTAGGAATTACAGCATATTGTTAGATCTCAACACATCAGAGCAGAAAAAGGTAAGTTTGGATCTGTATGAATACTTGAAATTCCACAAGGTCACTTGTCTTTGGGCTAACATGGTTTCTCTCATATCCAGCTACAGTGGAAGGTTCATGGTTAGATCTGGCCAGGAGGAGCAAGCCTGACACTCAACCTTATGCTCATCTCACTATTAATGCCACTGACATCCCATCAGGTAAGTTTCATTTGCATCCAGCTTGAAAAAATATTTCAAGAGTCATTTATTAGCCCTATTTGAATACTCAAACCTATTATTAACCTTTTACCCAATTTTTGAGAGCCCTTAACTTCTAGATCAGAAGAAAGACACTTAGTCTTCAACTGGTAATCCACACTGTGAGAACAGTGATTGGCAAGCATGTAAGAATGGTTATTATTACTACGTTAATTTTCAGATAATCAAATGGTTTATTTTAAACTAGAAGCCCAGTGCACAACATTTATTCATGGGGCGGTGTGGGGCGGCGTGTCTCCTCAGCCCAGCCTGCATCCTCTCGCAATCCGAGATGCTGCATGCACCAGTGACCATACTTTTCCATATAGGTGAAAGGCATCTTGCTGTTGTATGGGCAGCTATATTTTTTTGCCCTGATTATAAAAAGTAGTGCATAACATGATCCTTCTGGGGCAGTAGTACCATTTTCCCCATCTTATGGGAGAAAAACTAAAGCAGAAAGAAGTTAAAAAATTGGCTTTGTCCCACAGTTATAAGTGTCAGAATCAGGGCTGACCACAAAATGTGCAAGCCAGACTCCATGCATGTCATTGCTGCATCATTCTCTTTTCAGTGAATAGCTTTGCTAGGTTTTAATTTTTAAATCTAAGAGACGGTTCCCAAGAATAGGGTAGAGTCCCTAGGCCTGGCCGGTGATCAGGGCCATCTGCAGGATGACTGGTGACAGGGCAATTGGGGAGGGGGGCCAGTTGGCACCTATCTTGGCTGGTGGCCTGGCATCACCTGCTCACGGGCCCTGTCCTCTGCCACTGCCTCCAGTAGCCTCCCTCTGGGAAGATGAGCATCTGCCCCCTGCTGGTCAGTGCACATCATAGCGACTGGTCATTCCACTGGTCGTTATGCTGGTTGTTCTGCTGTTCGGTTAATTTGTAAACTAGAGTTTTATTATCTAGGATGATTGCCAATTAAGATTGCATAACTGGGAATCCCTTATGATCCTCATCTATATTTACCCAAGCTAAAGTTGACCATCCCATTGCTTGCCTGTGAGGTACATGAATTTACCCAGTTGTCATATACTCAGCCATCTCTTGCAGAATTCCAGGTAGATGCTTGACAGAGTGATATTTAATAAGCATGAAATGAAACATACTTCTCCTTCTCCAGAGGTTATAATTTTCTCTGGGTGGGGTGGGGGGGGGGTGGGATTCAGCTCAATAAACTGGAGACCTGGTTATCTTTTGGAAATGAGGAAAGCTAGAGCTATGGGCCCGAATGCCCCAGCTATTTCAACATATAATCCCCACTGCTTACTCCATCTTGGGGTATTCAAGCACCAAAAATATTACAAGGAATATTGTGATCGAGTGACCATTGAACATTATTGTTATTATTATTGTTATGCCATTTATTCAACACACACTATGTAGTAGGCATTTCACTCTGAATTCCTGACTCTAATCATTACTACAACCCTACAAGGTAGTGGTTACTTCAGATTTGCAGACAGGGAAGCTGAGGTCTCACTTAGTTTACCTGCTTGAGCAGTTACGGTGTGGCAGGATTAGAAGTTGAATTCCACTCTCCCAAGTTTATGCTTTTAACAGGATAGGTTGTTATCTAAGCACCTTCTTGCCAATTGGATTAGTCAGAGGGAGAGAAATTCATGTTCCTCTTTTTTTTTTTGGTAAGAAATATATTTTATAGGCAGGGGATCTAAGGCCTGACTGCCTGGGTTTGTGGCCCCACTGTATAGTTTACTGTGACTTTGTGCAGATTATTGGCATAATTTGTGCCTCAGTTTCTTCACTGGGATGGTGGTAGTATTACCTCATGAAGAGCTATGAATATTTAATGAGGAATGCAGTAACATTCCTTTATGGAAGCTGACATCTAGTAAGTACCCAGTGAACGCAATCTGTTATTGTTTGAGTTTAATTAAATAGTTATACATATTCCACTTTGTTCTAAAAATTACTTAAGGCAGATATTTCTTGGATTAAAAAAAAAATTTAGGTTTTAGTAAGCAATTTTGAAGCCACTATCACCATAGCATGAGCCATTGAGGGATTTTTCCTGACAGCAGACATAGAAAGTGAGAAACCAACTCTAGTTTTTAGATGATTTTCCTAAACTATCTATCCTGTCTCAGATACTTATTTCATAAACAAATTTTCTTTCTATGTGTGTATGTGTGCCTTAAGGTGCAGCTACACCGACTTTCTGAGTGTAAAACTATTTTGCATGTTAGCAAAGGCAATCAAATTAATACTTGATGTATCAGCTGTGTGTGCTCTGGATGTACTCTGCATTTATCTCTTCAGTTCATTACAAAGGGCATGTGAAAAAATATTGCATTAAACTGTGCCAGAGTCTGCTTGCCAAGAGCAAGCATGCTGTAGTTTCAAAGCTCTCTCTCCAGGCACCTAGACTCAAATCATTGCCAAAAAACAAGGCAAAATTTCTGATTACTTTCCAATGGCTATTAAATTTGAGACTGAGTGGCATGAATTAGTGTATGCTTCTGTTTAAGAAAATAGAATTTTCTCCTCAGGCTGGGCCAACAAGCCCCTGAGTCCATCTATTTCCAAGTTTTGGCAAGTACTAGGAGGATGGCTTTAATTTTGCAAGTTCATTTTGGGCCTTGCTTCATACTTATTTACACATAAGAAAAATCAGAACCTGCTTTATATTGACTGTTAGCTTATACATTGGCAAAGCTTTTTAAAAAAATATATTTTTATTGATTTCAGAGATGAAGGGAGAAGAGAGAGCGATAGAAGGATCAATGGTGAGAGAGAATCATTGATTGGCTGCTTCCTGCATCCCCCACACTGGGGATCGAGCCCAAAACCCGGGTATATGTCCTGACTGGGAATTGAATCCATGACCTCATAGTTCCTGGGTCAATGCTCAGCCACCCAGCCACACCCAGCTGGGCTGGCCAAGTTTCTTGAATGAAATACATTGGGAAATATGTTGTGAGGCCAGAATATGTGGCTTTCTTTAGGGCTAAATATTTGTAGGTATCTCTTCTCCAACATCTAACAGCAGTGACCATAGAGACTGGGGGTAGGGGAGGAGCTGGGATAAGAGGCCATCAGCAAGCTTCATTAGGGATGGAAACCCAGACCTGCCAGGAGAGGACTTCACCTGGATCACAGCGTAATCTCATCCTGTTTCCCTCTACTATCTGTTCAGGAGTCCTTGCCCCTCAGTACACTGTGTGTATTCCGTCCTCTGCAGTTTTCCTCATGGACAATACCCTCCCTTTCCTCAGCCCACCTGTATTTGATCCAAGTCCTCCTGTCCTCTGGCTCCTTCTTTCCTCACTGAGCTGAGCTCTCCTGCTGCCGCTGATTTCTGAGCTTTCACTTTCAGTTGCTTTAACTGAACTTCATCCATGTGCTATGTGACATGCAGAAATGAAGATGTCATATTTTTTGTTGTGTATGCTCATTTCTCATTTTCTCCAATATTTGTGTGGTTAGTGCCTTAAGGGTACACTGCTTTATATAATTTTCAATTGTGGACAGAAGGAATGCTCATAAAAAAGCACAATGGTCATTTATTGAATGATTGATCAACTAAATTGATCAGAGAATGGCTGAATAAGTGGATAAAGACAGAGATATGCTTTGTAGGAAATGAGACACCTTTCACCTGATTTTAGCTGATAGTGGGAGTGGTACTTAGTCAAGGGTCCTTTGTTCTCCCTTCTCGAATTCATATTCCTTCTTTGCCTTACCAAGACATATCTCTGAGCCTGTGGTTTATCACCAGCTGCTCTATTCCATTGAGAGGATAGACTTCACCTTTGTCATGCTGCTCCTTTCTAACAGCTGTCATAGGAGATAAATTATTAAGACAAATAATTGATTGTATAAGTATTGAATTCAGGAGTAGCATAAGAAGGAAGGAAAGGCAATAATTTGAAATAGGAAACATCTTGAATTTTGTTAGCTTTGTCAATGGGTCATGTAGCTCTATATCAGTCTGGTGGAATTACTTGCTAGTATTTATGAGGATGTGATGAATACTCCTGTAGTCTCATCTTGACTCACTTGGGACCATGGGATGACGTTTACATCTGGGATGTTTTAACCTAGGATGACCTGAGGCAGGACTCCAATGAAAAAGGACTTGTGCTGTGGTGGGTCCTGAAGGTAGCTGTGCCTGTAAGGTCTTGTAGGCTTTTTCTAATGCCCTCCTGTGGATGAAATGTGGATTTCAGTAAATATATTGTCCCGGAAAGAAGGGTTGGAACCATTGGCTTTCACTCCGTAGGCCTAAAGATGAGTTGCCCCACTGTAGCTTGGCCTCTGTGCATCCCCTCCCTCGCCTGCCCATTTGCTCTACCATCTGGCTGGTTTTTGGAACCGTATGCTATTGATCATATGCCAAGCTGCCTAGTGGTCCTACAGAAATAGTAGACATTCTCCTTTTTGTGGCTTTCTAGAGAAAGCTGCAGGTGCTCGAGGCTCCACAGGAGTCAGACTAGTCTGGAAGATAGCCAGTGTGGGTTTATCATTCTGCGAGAATCTCCCAAGGAGTCACTGTAACCAGAGGATTGTCAGCTCTGATGGATCTGTGGAATCTACTTTAAGCCTAAGGCCCCCCATGCCCGATTGTTTTGTGTGTGGCAGGCAGCAGTGGACTTCTCCTTAGCTTAGTTGGCTGTAGAGGTTACTCCAACCCTGATCTTTGACTCCTCAGCTCTGTTTTGCCTTGTTGAAATCTTAACAGATGATAGTTCTCATTTGGCACAAGTATTTACTAGTACAAGGTTTCTGGAGAAAAAAAAAGCATTTTTGGATTTTCCACAGCATAACAACTCCCCCCCCCCCCCCACACACACACACTAGTTGATACCTACTTGAATAATAGGTGTCCATATAAGCACAAATGATTGATTAACTGGGTTTATCATAGAGGTATTGACAATTTTTAAAACCCTAATAAGACACACTAAATCCCTAAAATGTGAAAAGCATTGGACACACTGCTGATTTAGAGGATTCCTTAGAAACTTTTACTGCTCCAGAACAGTAGCATGGGGATAGCTATCACCACATTTCAGGGGGAGAAGGGACTAAAAAAGAACTCTGGTCTATCAGGAGGTTTTGTGATACTTTAGTCACAAAGGATCCTATTATCCAATGTCACCCCCAAAAATTGCATAAAAAATAAAAATAAATAAAACCACAAAACAAGCAAAGGATCCTGTGAAGCTGTGAAGCTTGGGAGTGCAATGCCAGAAGTGGTTCTTTTGTGAGCTTCTCTGGGAGCATCTTTTCAATTATGTGAGACTGGGAGGTATTTGGGCTATTGGAGGAGGGGGAAATTGGTGGTGATAATAGAGTTTTAGGAGTTTGACCTTTTAGTCAAAGTTACTGTAATCTTAACTTTCATCTCCTTCTACATACCATTTCCCATGAGTTAAAAGAGAAGATAGAACCCTGTGAACTATGAAAGTTATGTATACTTATTTCAGGCTTCCTCTCTACTGCCTTTAGCTCATTCTCTTTCTTCAACCTTGAATGACTTTGTGCTTCTGTTTGTTGCATTCTATTTCTCCTTTGTGTTCTCAGGTTCAGTAATAACAAAGTCACTCTTGATCCCTCTGGGGGACCATCTCTCCTTTTTTTGTATTCTCATAGCAATTAGCTGCACTTCTCCTGTCAAGGTCCATGACTTGCTTCTTGAACACATACTATACTTAACTCGGGGGGAAGGAAGATGAGTTTTTGTCTTTGTACCTTCTCAGGTGCTTAGCACAGAGCACTAAGTACATCTTAATGTATTTCTCCCCTTTTAGAAGATCAATTCTGAAAAGTTATTCTCCTGTTGGAACAATGACTGTCATGCCATGTATTTTTTAAAAAAAAATATTATGATTAACCTCATAGAATTGTGAGGATGTTCTTGTCATTGAAGGGGTGAATTTTTTTAAATAAATCTTTATTGTTCAGATTATTACAAATGTATTCCTCTTTCCCCCCCTCCTCAATTGCTCCTCTCCACCAGGTTCCCACCCCACCCTCTGTTCTTTCCCCATCTCCCATTGTCCTCATCCATAGGTGCACAGTTTTTGTTCAGTCTCTTCCCGCACCCCCACTCCCCTTTTCCCTGAGAATCATCAGTCCACTCCCCTTCCATACCTCTGATTCTATTATATTCACCAGTTAATATTGTTCATCAGATTTTTTAATTCTCTTGGATTTTAGATTCACTTGTTGATAGTTACGTATTTGTTGTTCATAATTTTTATCTTTATCTTCTTCCTCTTCCTAAATAACCCCCTTCAGCAATTCTTATAATTCTGGTTTGGCAGTGATGAACTCCTTTAGCTTTTTTTTATTTGTGAAGCTCTTTATCTGGCCTTCGATTTTGAGTGATAGCTTTGCTGGGTAGAGTATTTTTGGCTGTAGGTTCTTGCTATTATCACCTTGAATATTTCTTGCCATTCCTGTCTGGCCTGCATGGTTTCTGTTGAGAAATCAGCTGACAATCATATGGGTGCTCCTTTATAGGTAACTACCTGCTTTTCTTTTGCTGCTTTTAATATTCTCTCTTTGTTTTGTGCTTTTGGAATTTTAATTATGATGTGTCTTGGTGTGGTCTTCCTTGGATTCCTTTTGTTTGGGGTTCTGTGGGCTTCCTGGACTTGTAAGTCTATTTCTTTTTCCAGGTGGGGGAAGTTTTCTGTCACTATTTCTTACAGTATTCTTTTGGTATCTTGCTCTCTCTCTTCTTCTGGGATCCTCATAATTCTGATGTTGATTCACTTGAAATTGTCCCAGAGTTTTCTAACATTATATTCAACTTTCTGGATTCTCTTATCCTCTTGCTTCTGTGGAGGAGTGTCCTCTGGCTCTTTGTGTTCTAAATCTTTGTCTTGATTCTTGCGATCTCCCAGTCTGTTTTTAGGACTCTGTATAATATTTTTTTATTTCAGACAATATTTTCTTCATTTCTAGTTGATCCATTATTATTTCTAGTTGCTCCCTTTTCATATCCTCTTAGGTCTCATTTATTTTATTGGCCCCCCCCTTTTTTTAGGATATTGTTGAATAACCTTATAATTGTAGTTTTGAACTCAATGTCCAATCTTTTCTTTTCCTCCATCTCCTTCCTTTGTGTCCTTCCTCTTGTCTGCATTTTAGTTGTTTCCCTCATTTGATGGAATAGCTTTGTGTGCTAGGTGTTCTGGTAGAGCCCAGTAGCACAGCCTTCCCAGTTACCTGCAGTGGACAGTCTTGGTGTAGTCCTTTGTGGGCTGTGTGTGCAGTCTTGTTGTTAAGCCTTGCTTATTGTTGGTATCACTGGGAAGTGTTGATCTCCAAGCCAATTGGCTGTGAGGATCAGCAGTATCTCAGCTAGGAGGGCTTCTGTACTCCGCTTGGATGGGGTGGGGTCTCGGGCTGGTGCAGACAATCTTTGGTTCCCGTCAGTCTCGCCTTAAAAAAGTCCTGTTCAAGGTGAGTTTTGGAAGATTGGTTGCAGGCGTGCGCACCTCTTTGGTAAAGGCGCAGATAAGCTTTGGATTCCAGCCAGTCCCTCCTTAAAGAAAGCCAGCCTCTGGGAGAGCTTCTGTGCTCAGCTTGGATGGGGCGGAGTCTCGGGTTGGTGCAGACAAGCTTTGTTTTCCCTTTGGCTCCTCCCCAAGTCCCGCAGTAATGGCCTCTGGCTTCACACACCTCCGAGAGATCTCTGCCCACTGCCTGACAGTCTGGCTTCTCCCTGTCTGGGGCTGTCTATCAGAGCAATAGGGTGATTCTGTTTTCCTCTTGAACAAGAAAGCCAGCCGTGTATTAGCTGTCCGCCTTCTCTGCGTGCCAGGAGGAAGCCAGTAGCGAACTCAGCCTGGCCCGCACTCTCTGCGTGGGAGTACGCCAGCAGCAATCTCGGTTTGGCCCTTCCTCTCCGTGTGCTGGGAGTAAGTCTGCGCCTTTGTACATGCACAGTTCTCTGCACCTTCACAGTTCCTGAGGTTCAGCGTGCCTTCTCTCTCCTTCCCAGATGGCAGAGCCTCCTCTCAGCTAGCCGTATGGTGCTTCAGGGCAATGCCTCCCCTGTTTTCCAGTTTTAAATGAAAATTTGTTGTGGTAGGCTGCATTCGGGTGTCTACCCTATGCTGCCATCTTGGTTTTTCCTTTTATTTCAAAGGGGTGAAGTTTAAATCATGTGCCTTTTTCCTCCTCAGGTTCCCACAAAGTGAGTCTGTCCTCCTGGTACCATGACCGAGGTTGGGCCAAGATCTCCAACATGACTTTCAGCAATGGAAAACTAATAGTCAACCAAGACGGCTTTTATTACCTGTATGCCAACATTTGCTTTCGCCATCATGAAACTTCGGGAGACCTTGATACGGAGTATCTTCAGCTGATGGTCTATGTCACTAAAACCAGTATCAAAATCCCAAGTTCCCATACCCTGATGAAAGGAGGAAGCACCAAATACTGGTCAGGGAATTCTGAATTCCATTTTTACTCTATAAATGTTGGAGGATTTTTTAGATTACGGTCTGGTGAGGAAATAAGCATCGAAGTATCCAACCCTTCACTACTGGATCCAGATCAAGATGCAACGTACTTTGGGGCTTTTAAAGTTCGAGATATAGATTGACCCCCATTTTGTGGAGCATATTGTATATTTCCTAGGACGTTTGGGAACTTATCATTTAAGTAAGCCAAGAAAGATGTACATAGGTGTGTGAGACTACTAAGAGGTATGACCTACGTGGTATAAGAAGACTCTATCCAGCTTTTGACCCTGTAGAGAGCATGTGTATTTATAGCCAAAGGGAGATGTTAGACTCAAGGTGTGTTACAGTCTGAAGGCTTTCTTACACAATGGTTTTAAATTTTGTAATGAATTCCTAGAATTAAACCAGATTAGAGCAATTATGGTTGCCTTTATGGAAAACTGCATTTTGGCCACAGGCGGGGTTAATTCTCTGGATCTAGCCCTTTTTTATGTGCCACTCTGCAGCGGAAGCAGAGAGAGTGTTATCTAATTGCAAAAGGATGATCATCTAAAGGGTTATGTTCTTTTGAATTGTTACATCATGCTGGAACCTGCAAATAAATACTTTTTTCTAACGACGAGAGAAAATATATGTATTTTTATATAATATCTAAAGTTATATTTCAGATGTAATGTTTTCTGTGCAAAGTATTGTAAATTATATTTGTGCTATAGTATTTGATTCAAAATATTTAAAAATGTCTTACTGTTGACATATTTAATGTTTTAAATGTACACATATTTAACTGGTGCACTTTGTAAATCAGCTGGGGAAAAATTGCAGCTAAGGGAAAAATATTGTTTGTTAATATCAACTGTATTATATTTCTTCATTCTTTTTAACTTAATAGATTTTTCAGACTTGTCAAGCCTGTGCAAAAAAAAAAAAGTAAAATGAATGCCTTGAATAATAAGCAGAATGTTGGCCACGAGGTGCCTTTCACATTTAGAAGCTAATTGGCTTTAGAAAGCTGACATCACCAAAAGGATACATAATGGGAGACTGGAATCTGTCAAGAGTATTTATATAATTATTGAACAGGTTTTTTTTTTTTCTACAAGTGTTGCAAATTGTAAATGTTTTTATTTTAAATGGAAAATGTATCGGTGGCTTATCAGCAAAAGAAACCCTTTTTTAATTGAGCAAAAGTTATTTTATACTGTACAATAAAAACATTGCCTTTGAATGTTAAATTTTTTTGGTACAAAAATAAATTTATAAGAAAATCTGCCTGTGATTTTGTGCTTCTCTTTTATAAATCTGTGATCTTGTCCTCTCCAATATGGTAATGTGGCTTCTGTCTTTCCAAAGGTTACAGAGAAATGCAGATTCAATTAAAAATTAGGAAGAGATTCAATTAAATTAATGAACCTTGGAATTTGAAAAATAACTTACAAGGTATCTGTATGCGAAAATGTAGCCAGATAGAGAGCAGAGGCTTCTACTTAAAAAAGAAACTTTTATGCTATGCTCCTGAGGAAAAATGGAGCTTTGCACAAGTTCATAATGCCTTGCAGCAGAACAACTGTCTGACCTGGAGGAACCCCTGAACATATTGTACCTTCCCTCAGGGAGGAAGGATTAGCTGTAGACTGATCCTCATCCTCATGGAAATGTATGTGAGTGAGTTCTTCAACCAAAGCTAGTTACCAAGATGAGAGATACAAGAAAATGAGCAGCTTGGGGAGGCACAGGAAGCCATCATTTAAGGCACTTGGGTATTTGTGGGTAATGTTTCTTGATGGTTGTGATAAGGTGGAAGGAGGAAAGAAATAGCAGATGTTACAAAGAAGAACTTATAAATTTTAAACAGCAGAGCTTTGATGGAGGGACTAAATCATTGACCAAAATATACCTATTGTCTTAAAACTATTAGTAAATCTAGGGTAGATTGATCCAAAATATGGCTTCAGTGTTGCATAACCCTTTGGTTGAGTTTTTGTTTAAGGAAAACTAATTTTGACAAGCATTTGGGGAATTCATCTACTCCCCACTGACACTAAGTCTTGTGTAGAGAGCTTTAGTGGCTTTCCTGGCTCCTATAATGTGGTTCTGTCATGGTTAGAGGTGAATGACATTCATTCGTTCATTCCATGTTATTTACTGAGCACCAGTGATGTGCAAGGCACCGTGCTGACAAGACCCTGGGGATAATATGCACTATTTCCGCCCTTGAGTGGTTTCTGTTCAAGTGTGGGAAGCTCCAGGGTCTGGGCATGTGAAGTGTATTGTGGGAGCAGAGAGGAGGACATTAGACCCAACCTACAGGGTCGCAGAAGCTCTAGAAATGAAATCAGGCTGGGTAGGAGGTGGTCTGCAAGGCTCCAAAAGTGAATGTAGATTATCCATTAATATTTTAACTTGTTGCAACTAATTTGCAATCTCTCAAAGATGAGTTGAAACTCAGAGTCTATGGATGGAAAGAACCTGGGAACTAGTGTGAAAATACAAGGTGGCACCAGCCAGACTGGGGGGACCCACTTGGCAGTTGGTCTGCAATGCTAAGGGAGAGCCTTCATAGAAGACCTTAACTGAAATGCAATTTTTATGAATGTTAAAGGGATTTTTTAGAGCTTTGCTGGAATGAACCTATGACAATGAAATGGTGTACACTGGCCTGTGTCTGAAAGGAGACAACTGGATCAAGTGGGTGTGCCAGGAAGTGTGGAAAAAGCTTTTTCTCCTTTCTGGTGATACTCAAGGCTTTCCTGGATCTGATGGCAGGATCCAAACCCCTACTTCCCCCACTCACATGCTACTTTGTACCCCTGCCTTTTTTCTTCTCACCCATCCCTTTTTCCACTTCCATTCTTCTGTATGTGTTGTAACCCTTTCTTATTATTTCCCCCTTACTCCCATCCCTGGTTCTTTCCCCAGAGGACAGGGGACCATTTAGTTTCTCGGTGGCACTTGGGGGATAGGAGGCTGCTGCATCTGATTGAGAGGGGACAAGATCATGTCCACACTCAGCAGCATCTAACTAAACATGTTGAGGGGTGACAGTATCATGCCAAGGAGCCACATGGTTCCTGAATTGTTTGCTCATTTTAACTACTACTCTATTTCAATCTCCTTCCCAACACATCAAACCCAAAGGAAGAAAAGCATAAAAATTGAAAGTTATCTGTCTTCTTGAGTCAATTTACAGAACTACACCAAAGTCAGGCATCCTTGCATTTTCCCAAACACTACCTATTCCAAAATTTTTATTTAGTGAGGTTGCTTCCCTTCCTCCTGCCCCTTTTCATCTGCTTTCTGCTGTGTTGTTCATCTCCATCAGGCCATCCCAGAAAAATATCCAGAGAAGATGACCTATTTCTCCAGTGACTTAGGTGGGAATCAGAGCACCTCAAGCCTCATCCTTTCTCTGTGTCCAATTCTTAACTCAGTTTGAGATAGTGACATTGGATCTACTTGTACATTTTGAGGATACAATTCTGATTCAACTTTCAGTCCCATGTTTAGCCTGTGGAGGCATTTTGGGCACACCAAGCATGTCCTCACTTCACTCTTGGCTTTGCTGATCGATTCTTTAGCTTCCTGGCTAGGAAATTGAAATAATGTTTTCTAGTAGCCGTATTTATAAATGCTATTAGTTATTGATTCACATTATTATGATTTAGACTTGTGTCACTTTTTACAATAAAATATTTGTACACCTTGAGTATTAGATTTTAGCTATAAAACAGAAATCTATCTTTTTGGTTAATAACACTTTTATGACACTTCTAATCTTATAATTTTAAAAATTCTACTCTGTAATAATTTTCCCTCCCCTGCCCTCTCTTTGTTGACTGATTTTCTTAACAGGAGCTTGTTTTATTGCATCTTGACCAGTACTCCAGCTTCTATGGTGACAATTTCTTTGATTTTTATCAGATGTGGACTAGTTATCACACTGTTTATATTGCAACATCTGAGAAAAATCTTATAGGATCATTTAAGAAAAATTAAAGTACAGTTGACATACAATATTATATTGGGTTCAGATACATACCACAGTTAGTCAACATTTATGTTCTTTATAAAGTGGTCTCCATATTAAGTCTAGAAACCATCTGTCACTTACATGGACAGACCTAGAAGGTGCTGTGCTAAGTGAGACAAATTAGACAGTGAAGGATAAAAACCATATACGGTAGTTCACTTATATATGAGAAACAAAACAAAACAAAAACCAAAAAAGAATCTTTTGTTTTAAAAATTGAAAGAGTTGTTCCTTCCTGTTGGTCAAGAAATAACCTAGAAGTTACTTACTCCATTAGTAGCACTCAGAGCTAAGTGGAGATCAGAGATGGTTTTAAAAATAGTAAGTGCTCTTAAAAATAAGTAAATATTTCAAGTTTATGTATCAGGGGTCTAAAATCATGGAATGGCACTCTCTTGGGCAAAAACCATTTTCTCCCTCTTCTTATAGATTCTGTAAAAGCTTCATTTTTCTCAAAAGCCTCATCTCCACAATCTCAGGTTGGTGGAATGAGAGTTCCTTAGGACACATGAACCTCTTCGGAAGGATGACCATAGGTTTGGGTGTCTATGGATCAGGGTGGACTCTAAGGTCCCCTGTGTGTAACCTTGGGCAGGTGGCCTTCACTTGGATTTTGCTTTCTGGCCTTGTGATGCAGGAGTTTTATAGAATCATTTTAAAAAAATTAAAGGACAGTTGACATGTGTTGCAAAGTTGTGAGGATTAATTGGCTCATGAGAGGGGCTCAGCAAATAGGAGCCACCGTTATTATCTTTCCTTTTCATTTGCTATATCTTCAGTCTTAAGGCTCAAGCAAGCCCTTTGACCTTTTTCTCTCTAGTCACTGTGCAGGGCCTGTATTCAGCAATGCACTGTGCTCTTTGCCTTGTGGTAGATACCATGATAGATACTGTGTTAATTTCCTAGGGCTGCCTAAGTAACATTTACCACAAAATGCGTGGCTTAAAACAACAGAAATTTATTCTCTCACAGTTCTGGAGGCCTGATATCTGAAATCAAGGTGTCATGTGATCACGCTTCCTCTGAAGGCTGTAGTGAAGAATCCTTCTTTCCTCTTCCTGCTTCTGGTGGCTGCTGACAATCCTGGGTGCTGCTCCAGTCAAACTCCACTCCTACTGTCATGTGGCCATTTTCCCTGTGTCTTCACATGGGCTTCCTTCCTTGTGCATCTGTGTGTCTCCAAATCTTCCTCTTCTCATAAAAAACAACAGTCATTAGATTTAGGGTCTACCCTAGTCTAGTAAGACTTCATCTTACCTTGATTACATTAGCAAAGACCCCATTTCCAAATTAGGTTGCAGGTTCTGGGTAGACATGGAGTATTGGACAACATTAGTTAACCCAATATAGATATCAAGTAAGTTACAGTCCAAGAATAGAAAAATACCTATAAATATCTAGTTTGGTGTATCTGATCTAGTTTAGATACACTAAACTAGAATGAAATTAATGCCACAATAGAAGTGTAGTAATGTTCTGGTCTTTGCTTGTTGTACTCACCTAACCAAGTAAGGACTTATTTTCATTGAAATATGAATAACATCATATTTGGATTTAAATAATTGTGTTGTGTTTGGGTTGGCTGTGTATTTTCATGAGATTATGCTGGGATTAGGACAAGGCTGTTATGCATGCTCTTATACCCTCATTCCCTCTGAAGTCTCCCTGCTACCACCCCCAACCCACCCAACACACACTAGGGTGTCCTGGCCCTGATGATGGCCTCTAAATAAAAGAAGAAAAGTTCATACTCAACTCTGAGGAGTCACAAATAATAAATAAGACTTATCTAGAATACCTACATCAGGAAATAAGTCATGAAACAAGAGAGAGGGGTCTAGAGGAGTTTTCCTAAATCTCAAGGTTCAGAGACACTACATGCAATGGCGGGTGAAAAGAGTCACTCACAGAGCATCAGACGGACACCAGAGCCAGGAGCAGCACCTCCCATCCCCTTCTCTTCCACAAAATGCCAACACAGGTGGCCCATCACCCAAAAGGCAAGTCCCATCCAAGTTCAGGCTCAGGTTCAGGAGAGAAGAGGAGAGTCAGGCCCATGGGAATGTAATAGGTGCACCCCTTGGTGCTAGGACTCCATGTCATTATGAGTGTAGTTTGTCTAAGGGCTTAAGAAGGGATTCAGCTCTGGGAGAAGACAGTCAGGATCCACAGAAATGCGCCAGTGACCAGCTATTTGGGAGCACAGGGGGTGTCCCCTGCCAAGACATGGGGAA